GTTTTCTCTTGTTCTGGTAAGGTTGGGTACAACTGCCCTGGATGCTAATGTACTGGGAAATAAGCATGGAAATAGCATACAAAGTATAACTCAGAGTCAGTTCTATTCCAGAGGACTGTTTCTAATGAATATCCCAAGACTAGGGGTGGGAAAGGCACTGTCACTCCATGCCTACAAGACCTGCCACCACTCAGTTATACAGCATGCGGCTCTGTTGCAATAGAGAATTGAGCATCCAAACAATGGGGTAGGACGTGACAAGAATTGGTGATGTGGGTGGATTTAGCTCAGTGGCACAGCCACCTGCCTTGTAAGCACAAGGTCTCAAGTTCAACCCCCAATTAAAAAAAAAAAAATAGTTTGCCGAGAGTTACCCTTGCTTAGCAACACAATACTAGTTGCACGCTCAGGTGCTCTTTTAATATCCACAAGGGGCCCAGCTTCCATGTTAGACACTGGGGAATATTGAAGATCTGTCTTTTTGCCTCCTTTTTTAATTTAGCAGTTGAAGGAATAAGAGCCATGGAGATTACATTAACTGACCCAATGTCAGGCACCTATGAAGTGGCAGGGTTAAAATTCACACACTACTCCGTTTTTTATTCCAAATTTCTACATTATTATTTCTTTTAAATCATGATTTTTCAGAATAAGCAAGTTCATCGTTTGTTTTAGATATCTTAGAAAATATGTGAAATTCCAAATGAATTTTTAAAAACAACTATAAGACCTCCCAAACACTTATATTTTCTCATAGGAAGGCACCATAACTTATAATAGCTTCGCCCCTAGTTTGGGTCATGTAGGTTGGTAAACCTGTGCTATTCCCACTTCAAGTCATCAGCAGCAGGCACAGGCTCTAGGCAGATGGCCCGGTAAAGAGCCACTGATTAGAGGTTCAAAGCTATGTGGTTCAGTACCCTGGAGAGCTCTCGGAAGGCCCTGGCTCCTGGCTCCTCGGGGTTGGATTCACTTTTACCACTGGCCAGTTCAAAGAGCTTCGTGAGTATGGGCTGTAATTCTCACTAAGCCTTTTCTCATGCAGTCCCGACAGGTGCGAATGCCTGGATAATTTCTACTCATCCTCTAATGTTCAATTTCATCACTAATTTTTCCAGAAGGCTTCCAAACTTCCTCCATTCTCAATATCTTCCTTCCTTCTCTCCTCTGCATCTCTTTTGAACATTGTATGTGCCAAACTAGATTAAAATTACTGTTTGTCCATCCTAATTAGACTGTAAATTCCTTAAGTCAGGGACTGAGTCTCAGTTGTCAATGGTCCTAGTAAATAATATTAAAAGTTAAATACATGAATGCATCTTTTTTGGATAATGGGGTGCTGCTAAAGGTGATTCTCAGCCAGCGGCAATTTTGCTTACTAAGAGATAGGCATTTGCTGATGTCTAGAAATGGTTTTGTGTGCCAGGTCATCTTGACACACAGAAGGTAGAGACCATGGCTGCTTCTAACTCTCATACATATTTGAACACACAACAGCTCCTGCAGTAAAGATCCCTGGCCAAAAATGATATTCTCTTTGAGGTGAGGAAACCTTGTTTCAGAATAATGAAACATTTAATCGAACTCTTCTTAAATCAATTCAAGAGCCATCAGAGAGCAGAGAGTTCAACCAGCTCATTTTACCAGTGAAGAAACAGATGGTTTGGTTGTGGAGCCAGGGCAAGAGTCACACTAAAGGCACCCTTCCCACACAGGTATAGTTTGTTGACATTATTCTTAGCCACCAGTCCTTTGGTGTAGGAATAGAATGATTGTCTTAATGTACATTTTTTTTTGATACCAGGGATCGAACTTGGGTCCTTGAGCTTGCAAAGCAGGTGGTGGAACCACCAAGTTCAATCCCCAGCCCATCTTAATGTACATTTTCCTGAGTTCATCAGTCAGGGTTAGAGAATAAGAGTGGGATTTTCCAGACCAGACAAAACATTTTGGAGTCACAGTCTGGACACAGCCAGCTTCCCTCCCCACATCAGACTCTTTTCTAGAAAGACATGCTACAAACTTAGGGCTCAGTGAGAACAATAATTCTTTCAATGGCTCATTGCTGAACAATTGAGTCTGCTTGGGAAGACTAGAGATTAGCCTGTGGAAGAGTGAATTATTTTAAACCGCTCTGCATTAAAGCCAATTAAAGCTCCAGAGGGCTCAGCCTGCCACTGGAGAATTCCCTCTAAGAGCTACAGGCCAAGAGGATCCAGGATAATTCTCCTCCATCAGCAAATAATAACATCTGGGAGGATGAACTCAATTTCTAAGGGAAGCCTTGAACCCCGAAGTGGTGGCCATCTCCCTCTTCAAGTGCCTCCAATTTAGAATGACTCCCCTCCCAAAAAGTGTCAGCCTTACCTTTTATGAGTCACCCCTGCCATTTTCCCAGACATAATCATTCAGCTCTGTTGAGTTAGAAAAGCCCAATGATTCAGGCACAGCATAGACAGAATCAGCAAAGGACAGAAACATAGGAAAAGAAAATCTGTGTGATGTCTTGAATAAGAGTGCCTTCCAATAAATTTGGCGAATTGTCTTCAAGGGAATCGGCTGAATGTGTTAATCATTTATTGTATATCATAACTGTCTGGCGCATACATGAATAGCTGAAAATATTTGTGGGCCCATGGAGGCTCTGAAATGATGCAGAGGGGAAGCTAGTTTCTGCAGGAGCTCAGTCTCTCTGCTGAAGTTTTTCCTCAGAGCAGCTGAGGCTGTTTCTGTTCTGGCCTGAGAATGTGGGCAGAAGCAGGACAGAAAAGGAAAATAGGCAGCAGGGTCCCACAAAGCAATGTTTCCCCACCTCTATTTCTTGCCCCGTTCTTGCCTTACACACACACACACACACACACACACACACACACACACACGCACACAAGAGTAGTAACCCCCAATTTGAATTCAAATAGATCTAGACTGAAACCCAGTCTGATGATTTCTCTGACCTTCAAATGTGTAAAATGGAACCAATAGTGCTCATACACCCAGCTTGTCAAGGGAGTGTATTTAGATGATGTACACAGTACACGTCATTCTTGGAGGCACTAAATAAATCTATGGTGACCAAAGGGCTCAGTCCCTACCTGGGTCATTTTCTAAAGACAGAAAGCTTTGCCCAGGAGATGACTGAGGAGGGAATCGTGGAAGACAGATAGTCTAACTGAAGCAGACATCTCTATCAAGGATCCACACGAGGGCTGATGATTTTCCAAACCTCTTTATAAGATGTACTGGTTGGGTTTGTGCTTAAGCAAAGCTCTGAATTGCTCAGCTCTGTATTCTAGCTTCTACAGAATGAATTTGTCACAGAGCAGCCTTAGAGAAGGTCCAACACTTTTTGGACATTGAAGTAACCTGGCACTTAGAATTTAGAGAGAATGTCAAACAAGAAGCACCTTGCCACAGGTCCAAAGAAAGGAAAATGCTCCCACTGTGAAAGAAAATAAGTGCAGTTGGTGATTCTGCAATTAAATACAGGGTTGTGATTGGTCTCCTACTGGCCAAGGGGTCACAACCAGCTCTTCGTCAGAATCACTGTGAGGATTTTACAAGAATCTATTCCTGACCCTGACCCTGGAAATTCAAGGGTAAATAAAGAGGCTCAGGATCTTGTTCTTTTTTTTCTCTGTTTTTATTTTTTATTAGTACATGCTTGCAGTACATAATGATCACATTTCCTTGTGGGGTGTGGGTTCACGTACACAACACATCTTCACTCCTTTTTATTAATCCCCTTCCATTCCCTTCCCCCTCACTCCCCCCATCTTTTGGTCCCCTTACCATGTAAAAAATAATCTCCCTATGTCCTGTGTTTTATTTTGCTCTTTATTTATATTCTGGGTTTCTCGTGTAAGAGCAACCACACAGTATTTAAGATGTCTGATTTATTTCATTTAACATTACGGTCTCGAGGTGCATCCATTGTCCTACAAATAACTCAGGTTTATCCTTCTTTATGGCAGAGTAGTGCTCCACTGTTTATAAACATCACACTTTATTTATCCATTCATCTGTTGATGGAGATATAGACTTCTTGCAAGATTTAGCTATTATGAATTGTGCTGCTATAAACATGGGTATGCATGTGTTATGGCTTGTATCTAGCTGTTCCTCCAAAGTCTCATATGCTCATAAGTGGGACTTTTGGAGCTGGCTAGATCTAGGGCAGATAATACTGGAATTAAGGGTATATGGTACTAAAAGAGTCCACTGATCAGAATTAGCATGCATAGTTCTGGGTGTGGATAATGGAAGCCCCACCCTGGATGTGAGTAGCACCAGCCAATGGGGTTATAGGCTGGAAGGAATATAAAGGGAGAGAAGGCAGGCTTGCTGCTTGCTGCCTTCCACCTGCCACACCATGAACTGTTTTTCCTCTGGGATCCCCCTGTGCCATGTCACCCTGCCTTGGAGTCAGCTGACTATGGACTGAAACCTCTACAAACTGTGAGCTGAAATGAATTTTTCCTCTTTAATTTGTGGGTGCTGGGTATTCTGTCTCAGCAATGAGATAAGTAACTAAGGCACCATGTACCACTGCGATATGTCTTTAATTCTTTTGGGAAGATACATCGAAGGAGAACAAAAAATAGCTGGGTCAAATGAAACTTGTAGTTTTAGTTTTTTGAGGAATTTGCATACTGATTTCTACATTTGAGCTTAGCCAAAAGGCTGAGAAGTGATCCATGCTGATTTCTATAGTGGCTGTACCAGATAACATTCCCACCAACAATGCAGAATGGTTCCTTTTCCCCCCAAAGCCTTGACAGCATTTGTTATCACTAGATTTCTTCATGATAGCCATTCTTTCTGGAGTAAAATGGAATCTCCATGTTGTTTTAATTTGCAGTTCTCTAATGGCCAGAGATGTTGAACTTTTTTTCCTGTATTCATTGACTGTATTTCTTCTTCTGAGAAGTGTCTGTTCACTTCAGTTGTCCATTTTTTGTTTGAGTCTTTTATTCCGAGAGGTCTAATTTTTTTTGAGTTCTTTATATATTTTAGATGTGAGTCCTCTGTCTTTGGAACAGCTGGATTTTTTTTTTTTATGATTCTGAAGGTAATCTCTTCCCTCAGTTGAGAGTACGTACCTGAGAGATGATGCTATCTGACAATGGGGGTCACGGTTATCATCAGGTGTATTTTTGGCTCTCACGAATTGCACAGTGAGACTCAGCCTTCCTCTTCTCAGCTCTCACCGCTACCCACCAGGCATGTGAATGTCTCCCAATACACTTTGAGCTTCTCTTTTCTAATTTTCTTCACACCTTCTTCCCCAAACTGCAATGAGCTTGGCTTCGCTAACAGAGCAGCATGACTTGCTGGTTATCTCCGGAATGAAGGTATGCTGGAATTCTGGTGTGGCTGTAAGCCAACCTGCACGATGCCCATCAACACCCTAAAGATGGCACAGCAACAAAGTAGAAGGGGCCTGGGTCATTGCCCAGTGGCAGGCTCATGTGACACCTACAGGGAAAATATAAACTTCTATTTCATTCTAGCCACTATTGTTTTTTGGTCTCTATTCAGAAATACAAAACCACATCCTATCAACTAGTGAGCCAACTGTCATAATACAAGTGATAAAGAGTCACAAAAGGGGTACCACTTGGCACAGGGAGAGTGTCCCTGAGGAGGGGGCATTTCAGCAAAGCATGTGAGAAGAGTGGCACTTAGCCAGGTGAGGAAATGAGGAAAGGATACACAGATAAAGGGAAAAGTGTGGGCACGAGTGCAGAGGCAGGAAATATGAAGCGCTTGGGAAATAGAATGTGGATCAAAAGGTAAAGTAATGAGGTTGTGCTTGAAAGTGAGGCTTGTTTGGGAAATGAAGAAATAATGAATGCTCCTCAGAGAACCCTTCCCCATAGAACCCCTTACCGTGGACACCTATCATGGACTCTCCCACCATGGAACATCCTACCAAGACCCCTCCACAATGAAACCCCCCATCATGGGACCACCCCCTCCACGTGACTTCCCACCGTGGAGCCCTCCCATCACAGAACCTGCCCACCACTGGCCCACCCACCATGGAACCCCCCACCATGAAACCACATACCGCAGAATCTCACCGCAGACCCCTTATCGTGGAACACCTTCTCATTGAACCTCTCACCACAGAACTCTCACCTCGAAACTTTCGATGTCTTTAGCAGCTCTACAGAAGGAGGCTGAAAGCCGAACCTAAGTGCCCTATTGTTTCTCCTTGACTATTAGCTTCCTAATGGAGATTGCAGAATCATAGAGGGCTTCAGTCCAACGTCCCTACCAGAAGTATTTCTTCTGAGGGACGCAGGCACCCCCAGTGGCTCCTATAAACCAACCACTGGTGGCCGATTGATAGATCTGTCAGTACCAACTCAAAGCAGTATCGACTGAGTAAATGTAACATAAACCTTATAAGGTGACAGGCAGAAGAGTTTTATTTTGTTCAAATAAACTCTGGAGGGGAAGGGAAACTAGGGGAAAAAGGAGAACCAGAATCACCCTGTCAGGTTGTTTTTGTTTGTTTGTTTGTTTTGTTTTTAAACATAGAAACAATGTCAACCATACCAGATAGACTTCCCCAAGCTAAAACTCTATCTAGGCCTCCATTTTCCACACTCATTTCAATCCCTCTGGGTTAAGAGGATCCTCTTTCCTTTTGTTTCTTTCCAGGCCTGTGGCCACCCACTGAATGTGGACCATCTGGTTTTGCACTGAGTTGCCGCTGTTGCCTGAGATTTTGTGGTGAGCCAGGCACTGCTAGGCCTGCCCGTGTCAGCTCCACTCATCCTGGTGTCCTTCTCCTAAGCACCATCCCCACTGATGGACAAAGGCACAGGACAGCAAGTGTCTTGCCCACTACTAGAAGCTATTTATTTACTTGCTTACTTTTGCAGTTCAGTGCATCATCACAAAGTGATGGATTATAATTTACATCTAAAATATCCCCCAAGTCTCCTGGTCAGAGGGGGGCTTTTGGAAGGTGATTGAATCGCACTGACTGTGCTGTTAGGAATTGGGGTCTGATCTGAAGAGGTGGGTCACCTGGGGTGTGACCCAGAAGGGCGTATTCTTGTCCCTGTTCCTCTCTCCGTGCTTCCTGGCTGGTGCGGTTGAGCAGCTTCCCTTCACCCTGTCTTTCCACCATGTTCTCTCTGCCTTGGAGCCAACCAACCATGCAATAATCCTCTGAATATCATGAGGGGAAAGAAACCTCTCTTTTATATTGTGGGTGTTGGGCATTTTGCCCCAGCTACAGGAAAGTTAGCTAAATACATCATGGAATTATGATTTCCTCACGGAAACAGAAGTCTATAACCAGTCTCCTCCCCTGGATCACTAACTCTTTCCTCTTTACCTCTCTGAAGCCAGGTCGTCCGATTTCAAATTTCTGCTTCTCCTCTGCTCCATGTCACTTGCCCAAACTCTCTCTTTATAGAACCGGAAAAGGAATGATAAAGAGATCGAGTGACTCTTCTACAATTACATGGATAATGTCAGAGCCGGAATCGAACTCATGTATCCAAAGCCCTCTATACCCCAGTTGACTTCCTTCTCTCAGGTCACCTAAGTCCTAGCCATCTTCCAAGGCTAACCAATACTGTTTCTCCATGTAGTCTTGCTTTCTACCCCTGCCTTGCTGATCTCTTCCTCTGCTTAGAAATTTCTTACCATCTGTTCCTTTGATAGGACACTTAGCAGTAACTTCTGGTTTTGTCACTTCACACTCTTGATTCAGCTCCCCTCTGGTTTTGTAAGCTTTTATTGGAGCTCAGGGACCTGTTTATCTTCCTGCAACTTTGAAAGTGATCTGTACATAAAAGGAGACAGAGCAGTGTGCTCCCGGGCTCTGGAATCAGACTCTCTGGATTGAATTCTGGCCCTGCTAATTGCTTGCTGTGTGACATGGAACTAAATAATCTCTGTCCAAGTACTTCCTGAAGGGTTGTTGAGAAAATTAAAGTCTATAATAACTTTCAAGTGGAGAGCATGGTACCTGGTACATATTAGTCATGCCACAGAGGTCAGTTATTTTAGGAGCTCAAGTAGTTGTCTTTCATGGTGATTGAGTAAGTTCATTCTCCAAGATTAAAAAATTTGTTTTGAAGGATGAAGTCAGATAGAAAATTTCCTTCCCATGGGAAATAAGTCTAGAAAAAGTAACATACAAGTTGGAAGGAGGCCAAATAGTGGGTACGAGTCGACTCACTTCCCCCTCATCACATCCACCTTGCAACAGATTGCAGTAACGACTCCCTGGTGTGCAGAGCGCAGAAATGACTAACAGCTGAGCAGGCAACGGGCATCCAGGGCCCAGGCTGTTGGCACCGTTGCTATTGTTAAGTCAGGCAGAAGAGGCTAGTTGTACTGGGGCCTTCGCAGCAGTGAACTCTGTTAGGATGAAAGATGGGTCCATTTGGGCCCCAACCCCTAGTGTTCAGGCAACGCTCTTAAAGGTCAATGATTGGAAAAAAGCGTGAGGACTGAAGCAGAATTTTCTAGGGGGCAGCTGAGCAGGTCGTTTTTGTCAGGAGTCGGGAAATGTGTTGCTCTGGATGCATGTGCATAAATTTTTTGCAAAACAGCCCATTTCTTGCAAAGATTTTAAGTGCAAAAGCTTGCCTTCTCTTCAATTTTATTTCCATTCATAACCATGGAGCAGACTTTTCTTTTTCTTTTTTTTTTTTCAGCTTTAATTGAGACTTTTCTAAAGCACAAAATGCTTATTGCTTTCTCTATGTGCATCAGCTTGCAAAGGGATTCTTCTCTAAGTACTTTCAGGGGGTTTTAGGGAGAGTTTTGGGATGGGATTTACATATAGATCATCTCTGTTGTAGTCCTGTTGATATCGGACCTCCAAATGATACAAGGGAAATAATATGACTCCCAACCTGCTAGATGTCCAGTATGTCGAGTTCTTGTTCCCAAAATCGAAGAATGAATTCTGAGGAACAACGGAGGTTAAGAGTAGGAAAATCTTATTGAGAGAGACAGCTCCTGAGAGAGACAGGTGGGGACCTGGAAAATGGGTTGCCATGGTCCCCGCTTTACAGAGGAAGCTTTATAAAGCAAAAATCACAAGGTGGATTCAATATTGGACAAAACTATGGTCAATAAAAAAAAATAAAATTGCAAGTATAGACACTTAGCAAGGGCACGTGGATGGCATCATTAACCTTGGTTTTGACTATAGTCTTAGTCTTGTCTTTAGTCTTGGTGGTCTCTGCCTCAGTAGTCTTAATCTTAGTATTAGTCTTAGTATTTGTTAGCCTTAGTCTTGGGGGGGATGGCCCACCCTTAATGAATAATGGTTTATACAGGAAATCTCAAAAGGGTGGCACCAGTAATTTTAAGCCTCCATTTATCCCTTAGAGAAGTACATAAATTTGGCCGTGTGACCTTAGTCTTCTTTAGATGCGCCTCCACCAAAGCTCTGATGTATTCTCATCTTCTGCATTGGCTCCTTTGAGGGTCTAGTCCCATCTGACTGCCTACATTTCTACCTAACTTAGCTATCTATAATATGGTGGGCTTTGTCTGATCATCTCTCCTACAATCCACAGGAAGGACTTTTCCGAGCACAGGAGCCAAGCACAATAGAACTGGGATGTGAGCTAAGCAAATCACAACCTGAGCCCTGGGAAGTTAAAAGGAGTTAAGGAGCCACGAAAGAGGGCAGCAATTGATAAATGGTGCTGGGGAAACTGGCGCTCCACATGCCAGAGATTGAAAGTAGACCCATATCTTTCACCATGCACTAACCTAAAATAGAAATAGATCAAAGATCTAACTATTAAAACAGAAACACTAAATCTGCTGAAAGAGACAATAGGTAGAATGCTTGAGGACACAGCAGTAGGCAAAGACCTCATTAACCAAACCGAGACTGCACGGGAAATATTACAAAGAATCAACAACTGGGACCTCATCTTATTAAAAAGCTTTTACACAGTAAGAGAAGTCACACAGTGAAGAGACAACCCACAGCATGGCAAAAAATTTCTTACCCACTATTTATCAGACAAAGGTCTACTAATCTACAATATGTAAATAACTTTAAAAAAACCCAGACCCACCTAAATTTAAAGACCCAGTCCAAAAAATGGGCAACTGAAATGAAAAGACACTTCTTAAGATGATGAAGTAAAAATAGCAAATAAATAAATGAAAAAATGTTCAACATCACTGGTCACTGGAGAAATGCAAATTAAAATAACACTGAGATTCCATCTCACTCCAGAAAGAATGGCTGTCAAGAAATCAACCAACCACAAGTGCTGGAGGGGCTGTGGGGAAAAGGGAACCCTTCTCTACTGTTGGTGGGAGTGCAGACTGCTGCAACCACTGCGGAAATCAGTGTGGAGAGTCCTCAAAAAACTAAAACCTAGAGGTTCCATTTGAACCAGCTATTCCACTTCTTGGTATCATCCTGAAAGAATTAAAAGCATCCTACCACAGGGATATATGCATGCCCATGTTTATAGTGCCACAATTTGCAATAGCTAAATCCTGGAAACAAATTGCCCGTCAACTGACACATGATTAAGAAAGATGTGTTTTTGGTTTTGCTTTTACATACAACGGAGTATTACTCTGCCCTAAAGAAGGATGAGCTTCAGACATTTATAGCTAAATGGATGGACCTTGAGACCACACTCTTGAGTGAAATAAATTGGATGCACATGGTTAAATACTGCAGTGTTTCACTGGTGTGAGAAACTGAAAGTGGAAATAAGGACTAAAATGTAAAATAATTATTGGGAAATGGGAAGAAAATGTTCAACTGAGGAGGAGAATAAGGGAGGCGGGAGGGAGAAAGGAAGGAGGGGGCAAGAAAAACAGGAGAAAATAGATGGAAAAATGGAAACAAATCTTCTGTACATAGGGAGGGGGGAATGGGATGAAGTAAAAAATTTTAAAAAGAGGACAGCAAGAAAGCTATGGGCAGGATTAGTGGGAATAAATAGACCCTGCTGGGATCTTCTGGAGCACACAACCTCTGTAGTTTGGGTGGGGACACAAAAAGACAAAGCTCCAACTAACAGCAATTGTGGCCAGCAAGCCTAAAGCATGTTGGGTTAGGTGGGGCCATGAGGCAGTAGCTTCTGGACAAATACAGAGGATGACTCTCACTCTAAAGAACTGCCCTAGGAGCTGGGAGCTGCAGCACCGCCCAGGAACTGTAGAGCCTCCTCAGCTCTCCCCACCCACCTCCCTCAGGTCTCGGTGTTGGAACTATCTGTATCTCCAACTGGACTTTGAATCCCTAAGGGCACGATGAGGTTTCCTTCACCTCCACCCTCAAAGCCTACCTCAAAGCCTGGTCTAGAGCGGGTGTCTGGTCAACCCCGGCTGACTGAATGTCCTGGTCTCTACAGTCTCGGAGAACAGAACCATAGAATGAGTGGATCTATGCCTCAGAGAGTTGGCATGAAGAGTGGGCCGAGTCACTGTCGCAGTGAGCAACTGCAGGCAGCACAGAGGAAGAAAAAGATGACTCAGAGGCGAGCCTTAGTTCGGTCCCTGAGAGGCCCAGAGGGGGCTATTTATTCTAAACTGAGAGCACCCAGCCTTGAAAGACTCTGGAGAAGAAAGAGCCACCAAGCCAAGAACTCTCTGACTTTTATTTAGAATCTCGGTGTGAGAGAGAAACGCAGGAGAAAAGCAGTTTGGGCCAAGAGGCATCTCAAGGCCGGGCAGTTTTTCTTGGAGAAAAGGCAGAGGGCAATGGCCTACGCACAACATGTTCACTAATCTAGCCTTTTTGTTGTTTAGCTGTTGGATTCTTACACAGCCCATGGGCTTTTTTTTTTTTGTACTAGGGATCAAACTCAGATTCTTGCTCTTGTGAGGCAGGCGACAGAACCACTGAGCTACATCCCTGGCCCATAGTGTGTGGGCTTTTGCCCCAGTTTATCCATTCACTCCTCACAGAGCCTGAGTTTTTTGCCCCACAATTTAATTATTTGTATGTGTGTGTTTGCCTTACGTTTCACCCATTCATTACTCATACAGCCTATGTGCTTTTTGTCCTGCAGTTTAACCTGGCCAAGTCCCCTACAAATACCTCCCCAGACACGGTCCTGACAGGCTGCTTTGGCCAAAGCCCTGTGGCCCCTTGACGCGACTAGACTGCTCCATGCAAGTAGATGAACTCCCTCCTGAGGCCAGAGATAGCACTGAGGTGTTCGGAATCAGTGTGCATGGCCATAGGGGTCTCTGAGGGGATCCGGAGAGCAGCACCAGTAACTCTTGTGAGTACTGTGCACTCGTTATCACCCCAGGGAGGAGGACACTGTGCCCCTTAGCAATCCCAGGCTCACTGTGGCACTTAGCAAGGATCCGTAAGTCAGGCAGGAGATTCTGCACAAACCCAGCTGCCATACTTCTGCGAGGGCATCTCCTTACTCTGGCAGGGGCTCGAAGCAGG